GAGAGAGAGAGAGAGAGAGAGAGAGAGAGAGAGAGAGAGAGAGAGAGAGAGAAATACTCCTGTATCGAGAGCCCCTGTGAGTTTGTGTTCCATGAACATCACTCCAGCCAAGGAGGTTGTCTCTGGTGTGGAGAGCCCATAAAGCCAATAAGGACATTTAGGAGATAGTCAGGTAGAATGGGGAGTACCTAGGAATGAAGAGAATGTATAAACATAAACAAATCGAGCGTGCCTAGACTTTCCTCTAGCTTCTGGCCCTATTTCTTCATATGTGCTCCTTCCCAGCCTTCCTTCGTCTCAGATTTCTTGGAATCTTCATGAGTTTTCAGTGTAGATAGTGTTCTGCTCTAGGAGTTGGGAGATGTTGAGCAATTAACCACCAGTGTCTTCTTCCGTGCGTCTGCTTCTCTTGGGGCAGGACTAATTAGATAGGAACATGTTCCCAGATAGTTAAATCACACTTATCAGGTCCCCTAGCTTTGCCTCAGGACGAGGAGAGGCATGATTAAGGCTAAGTACCCCTACCATCCTTCTTCTCTCCTATTCTTTCCTTCTTTCTTCTTAGTATTTTTGCCCTGGGTCAAAGCCACCTTGATCTATAAGGAAGTCTCTTTGAGTTCTAAATGTTCTTTCTCAGTGCAGGAGAGGGGCAAGAGGGTTAAGAATGCAGCTGTGAGGGGGTTAGAAAGAAATAACAGCCAAAGGTCCCTAGTCTTTGGTGTTAGCCCTTAGCCTTGTCCCTGAGTCGATAGAATGTTTGTACTGCTCTTACTCAAATGGTAAACCAATCTGGATTAGATCCGGGCTCCCAAACATATCACCATGACTTGAAAGATTCTGCTTTCCCAGTGCTGCTGAAAGCAAATTTTGCACTTTGTTAATTAATAAGAAATTCTCTTTTTTTTTCTTTTCTTCTACTTTTTGGTTACTTGAAAGTTTTAGAAATATTAAAGTGGACAGTATAGAATCTTTATGATTGCAGCTGTCACTGATTAGCTAGTTTATGGATCTTTAGCTTAGATAAATGAATACTCTAATAGCCAGGTTTATTAATAAGCCTAGAAGCCCTTGGCTCTCAGTCACTCTAGCATTTTCTCTGTGGATCTTTTGGGGTCTAAGAAAACATTGGGCTCTATGAACTTTAAGATCCTTTGTAGCTTAACTTCTAGATTTTATGACAGCCACCCAAGAGCATCATCTCAAGACATTTGAAATTGAGAAAAACAAGCTCTTAATTTTCATGAAACTATACAAAAGTTGAATCATGTAAGGATGGGATTAGTTCATTTCTATCCAATTTGGGGTATATCTTAAGGACTCTTAAGATGCTTCATCGTTCAGCTTCCTCAGGGTCTCCCAAGAGCTCTATTAATTAGAATTACTTTCCTCCTGCACTCAAATTTCTACCTGGCTTAGGCAGAGCAGCAAGCACTATAGAACTAGTTCTTTTAGGTTCCCTAGTCGGTGAGCTAGGTGGTTTGGATTTTAGTTCTAAATCTGAAATTAAATAGTTGTTTGACCTCAGGCAAATCCTACCTCCTGTTAGATACGTGATTTTTAACCAAGACTATATATTAGAAATTTGGGAGGCTGGTAAAGAAGACCTGTTCTTATGCTACAACCCAGTAAATCAGAATGTCCGAGCTCAGGCTCTGGCTTTGGTGTTTTTAAGAAACTCAGGGTGACCCTAATGTTCAACCAGAGTTGAGAACTCGCAGATTCTGTCTTTGAGATTTGCTCAGTTTCAGTTGGCTAGTCTTAGGGCTACCATCTGAGCATTTAGATTCTAAAGTGCACTGTTCAGCTTGAGGGTATTAATTTTACATCGCCATATCTCCTTTTTCTCTCTTAGAAAAGATTCCTTCAAGCTCTTCTTTGCCTTTTCCTTTCCTAGAAACATTTCACTGATTCATTCATTAAACAAATAATTATTGCTAAACACTATTCTAGGTGTTAGAAATTCAATACTCACAGTTTGAGCAAAACACGAAGTAGATAGTGTTTTGGTCTGATAGTTTAAAGACTGATGCATATTAATTAAATGAGAGTATGAATAGCTATTTCATTACAAACTGATTAACATTATTTTGTTCCATGGTATAAAAAGGACACGGTGCAAAGAGGGCTTATAACAGGGCCCTGGTCCTTCCAGGAGGCCAGAGAGGGTCTTTGAAGAAGGCTTGTCTCTGAGCTGAAATTGGTGGTGAAAAGAATATTTTAGGCAGAAGGAATGCTTATCCAAAAACCCCAAGGCAGGAAGACCCTCCTTAAGGTCTAGGAACTAAAAGTTTAGCTAGAACCCAGGGAACCAGGGTAGGTGCCTCCAGATGAAATGGTCCTTTCCAAATTACACAGGGTGCTACAGGATATATTGGGGATTTTATCCTTTATCTCCAAAGCAATGAGATGTTCAGAAGGATTTTAAACAGGATAAGAACTTGAGCAGTTTTTTTTTTTTTTTTTTTTAATGACTCGTTGCATGGTAGAGTGTTCTCTGTTGAGTCGAGGGAACTAGAGAGGATGTGGAAAGACTAGTAAGTATCCACTACAGTTTAGCAATCCAGAGACAATGGCAGATTGGTACAGAGGTGTGATGGGAGGTGGGGGGAAGGAGTGACATCAGGGAAGATTGTTAAAAGCATCAGAAGGTGAAAGCATCACTCCCTGGTGACAGATTGGATGCAGAGAGTGAGGGAGCAGATGGGGCAGGAATGACATGTGTTGTTCTATCCGTTTGAAATCATCTTTTACCTGTTGTAAAAAGTGGGATGATTTGTGTACACCTCATTATTCCTCATGAATTCTGGACAACCCAAAGCACCATAGCTATTTGAAAACCCAATTGATCTCCAACTCTGTCCTAGTTGGTTCAGGAGTTCTAACCAACACCCTGTGGAACAAGCACAGCAGATAAAGACAGAGGAAGGGATGGGGAGAAACAGGAAACCCAGGAGAAAAAAAATGACATCTACTAAGTGCTTACTGTGTGCACATTACATGCACGGGTCAGCACCTTCAAGAACTTGTTAAAGCGCAGATTCTGGCAGTGAGGCTGGGTGGTACCTGAGAAACTGCATTTCTGACAAGCTGCCCATGAAGTTGATGTGACTCTGTAGACCACAGCAAAGCATTATATCATTTCATACCATTAGCAAATAAAATTGTCACCATTTTAACAATGGTGGCTCTGAGGTCAGAAGAGATCAAGCACTCAGGCAAAGACACTTAGCTGACAAGGGCAATGTAGGGGTTGGGGTGCAGGAGTGCTTCATTTGAGAACCTTCACCTCTAAATACCAAGAGAGGGCACTTGTCTCTCCACAACCATAAGCTCAATCCCAGTCTTCTTTCTTAGGGACCCAATCTATAAGAAATTCATCTTCATCGTGCTTTGAGCTCACCTGAGGACACCACACTCGCATTTATGTGCCACATCTAATCTTTCCCTCTTAAGATGAGAGGGACATGGATTGATGGATAGATAAGATATGTAATAACTCCTACCCCCAGAGATCGAGCTACTGCCTGTTCTCTCATTTAGGTATGACCTCTTTAGAACTTAGAATGCCAGGCAAAGGGAGAAATTAAAGACTTGAAAGGGTAAAGTGAGGATATGTAACCTGGCAAAGGACAATGGCAAAGGAGCAGCCACAGTTACATATGGCTTCTCAGAAGAGAGTAAAATTTTCCAAGATCCATCTTCCTGAGAAAATGCAGAGTCTCTTTGAAGGTGGCCTTTCAAGGGAACCACATCTTCCTCTCTTATGGCCCAGGCCCAGAAATTCTCACCTTGGAATACAGATTAGAATACATATTAAAAATCTACCAAGATTTTTTTTTTAGAAAAACAAACAACAACATATTGATCCAAACTAACCCAGGCTTGGCCTTTGTGTGTATGTTGTGACAAAGACTTGCCATTTAGTTCTAATGGGCAGCTGTATTTAGGAGACCTGCCCCATTTAGAGAATCAAAGTAACTTTCATTGAGAGCTTGCAAGGCCCTGCTGGTAGCTTCATTTATTTACAAGTCTGGGATTTGGGGGAGACAAAGTAAGATCTAGATTGGGGTTGACAAGTGGTTCTGGTGCCCTCCCACTTTCTATTGGGGCAGGGGATGCTCTCCACACTTTCCTGCAGGACACACACCCAGCTCTTTCAACTCAGTGGAGCCCCAGGCTCTGTTCTGCCTGCCTGCCTCTGGGCATTTCCTTGAAGGCAAAGAGCTCAGGCATCTGCCAAGCAAGAACAATCTCGTTGGGGCAGTTTCTCAGTGAAGTAGGAAGGGCCAAACTCTGCAGGGGATTTGGTTGTTGACAACCCCTAAAATTCTAAGACATGAAGTGATGTGAAAAAATTCCAGACATTGTTGGAAGATATTTATTTTTAAAGGAGTGGTGTGGAGTATTTTCTTAGTGCATTATTAGTCAGGCTTGCCTAAGGGACTTTGAGCCGAGGACTTTGGAAATCTCAGAAAAGCCCAATTGTCATCTTTTTCTCCTTTCATTCCCAGTTGGGTGTCCCCATTTCCACTTCTCCATTCCTTCTTTGTCTCCCTTTAGGTAATGCTCAGCTTGAATCTACCATTTCCCCCCTCTCCTTTCTCACCTTCCTTCTTTCTTTTCTTACTAAATCAATACCTGCCATCATGGTGGGCATTGTGGTAAAAAGCAGGAGACATCCCTGCTCCCTGGAGAGACAAGGGGTAGCCAGACACCTTCAATGTGCTGGGTGAGGGCCGTGAACACAGAGCAGCACCAGGTGTCTGCAGAAGAGACACCTGATCTGGACACAGAGGGGCAGGAAATGAGAGTCAAGAGGAATGCTGGGCTGACCTTAGTCTTGGAGCATCAGGAAGGGTGAGACAGGCTAACAGGGGGCAGAAGGTGTCCTACAGAAAGGGCCCATCCTTGATGGAAGGCTTGACTCAACAACCAAGTCCCCAGTAGCTCAGAGCATGGGGACATAAAGCAGTGATCACAGCAGCGAGGGCTTTGTACATCATGCTTGATAATCTGGGGTTTATCTCACAAACAACATTTCTAATTAAAAGAGTACATACATGTGATTTAAGATCAAGTGACATATCTGATGAAAAGCAACTGTGTCCTGCACTGGTCCTTCTCCCCACCACCTCTCATTCCTGGGCACGTCCAGGCTTTACTTGCTTCAGCTCTCCATTCTTGTCCTTATCTCCATGTCATTGAAGTAATATGCATCTTTCTCCATTTATCAATCAAATTCAGACACTATCAAAATTCCTACTGTCATGTGAAAGTAAGGAACACTGATCTCTTGCCTACACTTTTATTTTGAAGGCTTTGGGTAGCAAGAAAAGGCATTAAATAGAGAAGTCATATGATAATATTCATGACTTTTGTGTTTAGAAAGATCATTCCAGAAGCTTGGTGGGGCAAGTGGATGCAGATAAACAAGATGATAGATGCCATGGGTTTGACTAAAGGGTTGGTTCTGTTAATTCAAAGAACATGAAGAAAGAAAAATTGGGAGACTGAATTGGAACTTGGGGATGAGTGTTCTTGATAATTTACTTTGCTAAACATAACCTTGAACTTGATCCCAAAACCTGGGTATGAGGACTAAAAATCCAGAAAGCTATGGATTAATTAGCCTTTCATCTTAGAAAATCCTGAATACAATCCCCAAAGAATAAAATTCTAGAAACTAAAAGGAAGTCATTATTTGTTTGAGTTTAGGGCTTAATTCTAGGGGGACCAGGTGGTTTCTTAAAGAGGAATCCTTATTATTGTTTCAAGCAACATCAAAAAATCCATCATTGAAATTTGATGCTCCTTTCCATTTTTGAAACACTAAAATATCCTGAACAACACAAAGAGTACTTATTCTAAACATGAACCAACATAACACATCAAATGAAACTCTAGAGTTCCCCTTAAAATCAAAAGTCAAATGTTTTAAAAGTCCAATAGTATTATTTTTATGGCAACTTTCACACACATACCAAGTTGTGGTTTTTTTTTTTTTTTTTTTTCCCTTCCCCAAAGAGAACAGTTAAAAAAAAAAAAAAAAAAAAGCAAACAGGACCCTATATAAATGTCTGTGTACTGGTCCAAAAGATGAGCGAGGAAGGGGGTTCTCAGCCGACCTGGTACCTGCGGCCTAGGGCCCTGGGGACAGAAGGTGCAGGCAGCCACTCCAGGGCCGTGGATCCCAGGTGGGGCTGGGCAAAGCGAGCGGTTTCTGTTCCTTGGCCTCCTCACTGTTGAATTTGTGCCAGGAAACGCCTCCGTGTGAAGGAATCTGTGAAATAAGCAAAGAGGAGCTGGTGAGGGGAAGCCCCAGCAGGACCCCTCTGTCCCCAATGTTCTCTTTTGGTTGAGGTTTCATGGTTTTCATCTCCTGAGATCATCATAGCTGGTGCCATTCCTTTTCTGGCCGCTAGGGGTGCTCTGATCTTCACAGCTCTTCAGGTGAACCTGAGCAGAGTTCCTTCTCTTAGTTGTGACAAGATACAAAAACAGGCATTTACCCTGACATACTCAACAAAGATACAACATTTTAAAAGAAATTCAACGTTGTTGTGCAAACACATATATAAAATAATGCAGGGTTTTTGGTTTTTGTTTTTGCAGTTTGGGGGACGGAACCCAGGACTTCCTGTGAGCAACATTCCCAGCCCCTTTCATTTTACTTTGAGACAGTCTTGTTAAATTGCTCAGGCTGGCCTAGAACTTGTGATCCTCCTGCTTCAGCCTCCTGAGTAGCTGGGATCACAGGGGCACCAGCATGCCTGGCTTATTTCTATATTTAATGTAGTTTCTAAAGTTAATATATTTATTATTTTTCTCCTACCACGAGTCTGAAAAGGAGTTGACATGTTTTACAATAAAAAGACATGCTGTAGAAACATTAAGATAAAACAAAATATTAAAGTCCATGAACTGAATTTTAGGAGAGAGGAGAGGGAGTTCAAAGATAGTTGCTAGGACTGAGGACAAAACAAGCCAATGAACAACAACAGTGAACCCTTTTATGGCCAAAAAGTTGCCTTAATATTTTGGAATTCATTGCATAATTGTCTGCACCTGAATGTATTTCTCTGAAAGAGGCTCCATAGTCCTTTTTATATACTTAGGTGGGGTCGTGGCTTTAAACACGTTAAAGATGTTTAATGTGGGATTTAATCCCTGCTTCTGTATGATGTTGCAGAACTTCCACTGGAGGTAACATGCATGGTCTTCACTCCACCCTGACCCCAGGACTATGCCTTCTACATCTTCTGCTCAGGATAGGCAGGGACCCTTCCTAAGAACTAAAATCCATACAGCATTTCTAGCCCAATTTCTACCCCTATTATGTGTTGACAAATAATAATAAAACCATGATGAATGTTTCAATGGTCCTTTATGGTTTGTGAAGTCCATCCAAATATATCGTATAGTGTGATCTTCACAATAACTCTGCAAGGTAAGCAGTAGAATCTCCATCTTCTGGTTGAGGACTCCTCAGGCTCAGAGATCTTCAATGACTTGTTCAAGGTCTCATTGGAAATGGTAGTTTCTGGGCCCATACTAGAACCTGCATTCTGAGATAGGCTTACAGTGTATTCTGCCCAGTGCCAGCCATAATGAGATTGGAAAAGCTGGACTTCTCCCATAGTCAAAACCATCCCAAGCCACTAAGATCTCTCTTTTTTAAAAAATTTGCTTTATCGGTGCCCTGTACCTTTCCCTTCCCTCTCCTATTCCCTCCCTCCTCTGCTCTCTCTGCTCTATAGATCTCCCTTCCATCTTTATGAAATCCCTTTTCTTTTCCCTTTTCTCTCTAGCTTCCACTTATGAGAGATTTCTGAGTCTGGCTTATTTTACTTAGCATGATGTTCTCTAGTTCTATCCATTTTCCTGAAAATGACATGATTTCATTCTTCTTTATGTCTGAATAAATCTTCATTATGTATATATATATCACATTCATCTGTTGACAAACAGACTGGTTCTATAACTTGGCTATTGTGAATTGTGCTGCTATAAACATGGGTATGCATGTATCATTATGGTATGATGATTTTAATTCTTTAGGATAAATATCAAGGAGTGGTATAGCGGGGTCATTTGGTGTTTTCAAAACTAGTCTTTTGAGGAATCTCCATTGTGGTTTTAGTAATTTACAATCCTACCCACAGTGTGTAAATGTAAAGATCTCTTCTTATTTATTAATTCAGTCCTATTAACTTGTGTATCTCAAATATGTTCCCAGTTGCTCATACACTAATCATAAATTACTGCTTACAACATATATAGAGGAGGTGATATCCAATGATAGGTCAAGTCATTAGCATTTAGTTTTTTAAATAAACCTTGAACATATAGACTCCTGTCCTGGTTGGATTTAGCCACATTGGTACTATACTGGGGATGATTGACAGGGGGATGATGGATGGCTTTTCTTCATCTTGGATAAATGTTGGAATCTTTAGACCACTCACTTGAAAGGATTCGACTCTCCACCCATCAGAAAGCATTCCTAGTCCTGAATTTCCCTCCATAGGAGGCCTATGTGACTTACCAGGATCACATCCGGCTGGTGGGGGAGCTGGTGACCGTCATCGGGGCTGTGATTATCCTGCTTCTAGAGGTGAGGTGCAGGGGGGTCCAGGCTAAGGCCATCCACCTGAGGCCCCAGGCTGAACTGCAGTCTACATTGTCTCTTTGTTTTACTGGCCTCCCCCAGATCCCAGACATTTTCAGAGTTGGTGCCTCTCGCTATTTTGGACAGACAATCCTCGGGGGGCCATTCCATGTCATCATGTGAGTGTCTCCTCCTTTTAGCCCCTGCCTACACTTAAAATTGTTCCAGGTCTCCAGTGCACTCTCTGGGATATAGACCTTAGGTGACCCTCACTCAGGTGTTTCTCTCCAGTGGACTTATATCTATGTGTGTAGGTGTGTTTTATGTGTTAAAACTAAGCCTGAGTGTGTGGGTACCACCCAAGTCACCACCATGCTGTGGGGATATAGAATATTCCCAGACCACCCTCACTCTCTGTTTCCTGCTCTTCTTCTAGCATCACCTATGCCTCCCTGGTGCTGGTGACCATGGTGATGCGGCTCACCAACATGAACGGAGAGGTGGTACCCATATCCTTGGCCCTGGTGCTGGGCTGGTGCAGTGTCATGTACTTTGCTCGAGGATTCCAGATGCTGGGTCCGTTCACCATCATGATCCAGAAGGTCAGTGCTTTCTGAAGCCTTCTTCTGGCTCAGTCAGAGGACGTTTGCAGACTGAGGGTTGGGGACAGGTGCAAAAAAGGAACTTCTGCTCTGACTGGAGCTGGTGGAACTCTGGGGGCCTCCTGATCCGTTAGTAATAATGGCTCAGATACAGTGGAGAAAGGGTCAGTCCACCTTTCTTCCTCTTCTCTGTTTCATGCAGATGATTTTTGGGGACCTGATGCGTTTCTGTTGGCTGATGGCCATGGTTATCCTGGGATTTGCCTCTGGTGAGTGTGTTACTCCTTCTTCCAGTGGATCATTGGGTCCAGATCTTCAGAAAGCTCACCCTCACTCTCGCTCTCAGCTCTCTTCTGCACTCTCTTTTGTTGTCCATGAGATCAGGACCACTTAGGCTGGCCGAGAAGGTAGACTCATGTGGCCTGGACCAATCACATTTGTGTTGACTAACTGCCCTGTGAGACCTTGAGGTGGAGAGGGCTTTTGGAGAGAGATGGACCTTAAACAGGAAAGAAGGGCCAGTTGTGGATCCCAGAAAACTGTGTGGACAAAGAGAAACAAGGCAGTGTTTAACTCTTCTTTCCTTACAGTTCAGAAGAAGAAACAAAGCATTCAAGAAGACAGTGTGCTCTCGTTCTATAGGTGGTCTTTAAAGTTGAGATAAAAGGAAAGAATTAGAACGAAGAGATATACAAGAGAGTCTGGACATTTTAAATCATGGTAGAGAAAACAGAAAAAGAAGAGTGGTGAAGAGAGACCGAGAGATATGGGATAAGCAGGGTTTCAGTCAAGGCTTAGTGGAGGGTGCCAGGGAGAGAGAAAAAAGAGAGCAAGGGAAGGAAAAATGGCAGGAAGAGCAGTGGGCGGGGGAAGGAACAGGAAGGAGTACAAGAGAGTTCTTGGCGCTGAAAAGATAAAGATCCTAAGGCCAGGAACTCTGACTCTGTCCTTGATTAGACAGGCAGGTGTATCAGAAGAGCTTTGAAGACCACCAACTCTAAAAGATCATGACTCCTTACACAGATTCTTTACTATTCCCAGAAATTTCCCTGTTCAATAAGGATTCCCACGAAAACAAAGACGGAAAAACAAAAACAAAAACCAAAAAAAAAAAAAAAAAGCACTCCAAGATGTAAGGCATGAAAGGGTAGAGCTGGCAGTCTATCTAGAATGTTCTACTCCCCTGCACCCTCTGATACCCCTCTTCGAAGCCTTCTCCCTTCCTCACCTGCGTCTACTCATACACAGGTTACAAAACAGGGTAAAGGTAACAGAGTTGCTTCCTACAATGTTCTAGACCCCACATTCCCTAAATGATCACTTCTTGGCCATTGTACTTAACTTTTTTATTAAATAAGGAAGATGTTCTCTGTCATGGACCCTATTTCTGCTCTTGGAGCCACCTTGTTGATGTTTCAATTTCCCACACGGAGAAGCCATTTAAAGGGTCTAATGCTGAGATCAGGTCCAAGGATGCCCATTACCGTCCAGCAGGCCACACAGAAAGCAACGATAGCCTTCCCATGAGCGTCCAGGCTCACCTAGGGAGTCTCAGGGTGATGGATAGTTATCTAAAGGCCATCGAGATAAAAGGTTTTCTTCTTTTAGCCTTTTTATGTGCTCCATTTTTAAAAATTGTTGCATAATCCACGCATTCTTTTAAACAACTTATCTTGTAAATGTTTGGCTTTCTAAAAGTTAAGAAACAGGTGACATTATGCCATACATGTCCATACATTTTTTTTTTCTTAATGCCTGAGTATTATCATCACCCAGCATGGTGAACTTAGTCATAGGACCTCTTGGAGTTGGCCAGTTTCACAGTTTCACATTTGTGGATGCATGACTGTGTGGACGTGTGTATGTATATGGAGATGTATATATCAGAGGTAGAGTGAATACTAACTTGGCCCATGCTTATTGTGATAATTCCATTCTTTCTGGGCGGAGCAGCGTTCTGTATCATTTTCCAGACAGAGGACCCAGCCAACCTGGGGGAATTCTCTGACTACCCCACGGCACTGTTCAGCACCTTTGAGCTGTTCCTTACCATCATCGATGGCCCTGCCAACTACAGCGTAGATCTGCCCTTCATGTACAACCTCACCTATGCTGCCTTCGCCATCATCGCCACACTGCTCATGCTCAACTTGTTCATCGCCATGATGGGCGACACCCACTGGAGAGTGGCTCAGGAGCGTGACGAGCTCTGGAGGGCCCAGGTGAGTTTATCAGTGTGATTCTTGCTAAGGGACGGGGGATGGAGAGAAAAATCAAAGTGAGATGTTATGGTGGACCGTTCCCAGAAGAGTCACAGGACAACCCAGTGAAGCTGCCATCTCAGTGATATGTAAATCTGAGGTACATGTGGATAGATAGAGGGGACAGAAGCAGGATAAAGTGGAGGGTAGAGGCAAGAGGTGGGGCTGTTGATCATGGGTGAAAAGTAGATCTAGGAGTCCTTCTTGGATCTGCTGGGAACCAGAAACTGTGCTAGTATATTCTAGTTTTTATATTTGGACCTTATGTTCTCTTAGATTCTATAAATCCCTGTTTTCCATGATCTTTTCTTGGGTCACCATAAGGCAATAAGTAGTAGAGTTGGAAGTTACCCTCAGGAGATCTCTAAGAAGTACTCACCTACTACTCAGCATAATTATTTATTGGTCAGAGTCCTTCAACATCTTCTTAATGCTAATCAAGACCTTATTATCTTATATGTTTGGATAGGGGGTAGGAGGAGGGGAGTTTTCCCAAATTATTAAAAATGTCCATATTGCGTTGAGCTGAAACTTGTCTTTTTATAATTTTCATTCTCTGGCCCTAAACTTTTTCCCCTCATACAATAGGGAATACATTTTTTTATGCCACTAGTCAATTATTTGAATAGAGTCATCTTCCAATTTACTCCTCAAACTTTTCATTTTGGTCATGATAATCCTTTAGGGCCTGCTCTTTATTGGGAAATTTCTAGGAGCTGGAACACATGCACAAACATGACAGCTGTAACCTGTGACCTCATGGGGCTGCCAGTCTAGTTAGAAAGACAGACATCAAGCAAATGACTCCATAGAAGGTTGCAAACTTACAGCAATAAAAGTGCCATGGAGAATACCAGGTGCTCAGAAGAGGAGGCAACCCAGGAATCTGACTGGAAAGTTAGGGAATGCTTTCCTGAGGCAGTGACATTTAAGATGAGACCTAAAGATGGGCAAGAATCCATTGAGAACAATGGTGGAGAGGATAGGGGTCAGGGATTGTAGCAGTGAGGACCCAGGACAACAGGAACAGAAAACAAAACTCAAACAGACTTGTTTTTAAGTAGGAGGAGGAGGGTATGTTGATCCTTTGGGGGTGGCTGGTCAGAACCCAGTCTCCATCTCACATATTCTGTCAGTCCCTTGTTCTGCTCTCTCTTGTTCTGACTTTCTTCTAAGTCAGGTTCTCCTGCCATGTTGTCCTGATGACTTAAAGAAGTTCTAAGCTCTGAGGGAAAGAGCAGGTTCCTTTAGTGCATAATCATAAGACCTGTTCTTGTTGCGTTCTGTCAACATCGTATAGTGCTGTTGGCTTGGAAAGAGCATCTTTGACCCCAGAAAAATCAGCCTAAGATTCACATCCTTGCAAAAAGTTTGGGTCTCATAGACCCATTTCTGAATTTAACATAAAGTTATGACCTTGCTGGTGGTGCAAGTGTGGAGGTAAGGAGCCCTCACCTCGAGCCCCATAATGGAGGAGATGATTTCCAGGGACTTGGTAATCCAGCTTATTCTAACCAATGGGCTGAGAGAGGTGAAGGATCCATTCTCTAAATGAAGGATGGGTTCTGTTACCAGAAAACAAAGGGAGGCTGAATAATAGCTGAGTAAATCATGTGAAAAAAATTCAGATTCTAGTAGATCATAAACTTAGAAAGAGACAGTTACATATATGTATCCTTTTTGCGGAAGAAAAGACCTATCCAGAGAAGAGAACAGAATGATTAGAAGTCCTGAGATTGACTCAACTATGAACCCAAGGGAAGTGTGGAGTAATAAAAAAGTCCGGAAATGGGAGAGGGTGACGTGGACAGTTGGCTGTATTAAGGACTGCTAGCTCCTTCAATCAATAATGCTACCTGGCCCTGACCCATCGTGACTGCACTCTGTTCCTGTGATAATAGACCACGGTCCTTTTGAAATTAGAATTGTCCAGTCCCTGATATGATTGGAGCAGTGCTGAGAGAGATCATGCCTTTTCTTATATTGGAGGTAATACTATTACCAAAAGCACCTAAAATCAGGTCAGATCTTTTAGCATATATGTAACTGCCTCTTTCTAAGTTTATGATCTACTAGAATCTGAATTTTTTCCACATGATTTACTCAGCTAAGTTCCTTACATGTAAATGTAGGACCTCACATTTTTTTTTTTTAATTCAATGTTATTGGTTTTAGAGCAGCATTCTGGTTTGGTGAGGTCATTTTATATTGCTTTTGTCACCCCACATATTACGTATCCCTCCCAGTTTTGTGTCACAGGCATATTTGATAAGATTGTCCTCTGTTTCATCTAGGTAGTTAATGAGGGCTGGGCAAAGGACAGAACCTGGGACATGTTACTAGAAATTTCCCTGCCAAGTGAGAAGTCATTAATCAATCCTTTTCCCTCTTCAGGTATGGATGTTTAAGTTGCTGAAATTCCTTGAACTGGAGCATCATCAGTTCATCCCTGAGATCAGAGAGATTTTATTTAATCATTTTATTTAAATCAAGATCATTGGTCTGTGACTTTCCTATGGAAAAAAAAAATGAGATTACTTTGGAATGACTCATTTTCCCTGAATCTGAATAATAATGTAGGAGTCACTGTTTTATTCAAAACAAAGAACATCCTTTCTCCTTTTCCTATGAGAAAAGCAGGCTGGCATGGTCTTGTCACAGGCTCCAAGAAGATAATGGTAGCTCTTACTGCTGATCTCTGGCGTCCTCATTTCACACATTGCTTTTGACTCCCTTTGTGGGTGGCCTCCGTGCCCCTCTGAACCTCACAGCTCTTTCTGAGCTCTTTCTCTGCCTCTCCCCTCCTTTCAGGTCGTGGCCACCACCGTGATGCTGGAGAGAAAGATGCCTCGCTTCCTGTGGCCTCGCTCAGGGATCTGCGGGTGCGAGTATGGCCTGGGGGACCGCTGGTTCTTGCGGTGAGTGAAAGGCTCATCAGCCTTAGAATAAGCAAGGGCCACCAGGAGATGTCATGAGACTGTGTTAGCCTGTCTTGGGGAGGGAGATGGAGTACAGGCGGGGGCTTAGGGAATGCTGATGGTAATGGCAGGCTGTGTGTGTGAAAGGTTTGGATGTGAGCAGCGATTGCCCGGCTCATGGTCTGTTCCTGCCTGACCAGCATTTCCAGTATCCTCTGGCCTTGAGTGCTGCTTCCTCCTTCATGCTCTACCCTTATCTCCTTACCTGGCTCTCCTCTCTACCGGGGGTTTCCTGAACTCTGTGTTCTCCACCCTGTGACCCTGTATCTGTTAACTGACTCCATTCTATACGGCCATCACCCATGTCCCATGGCCCTCTAAAGGCTGATTGCTCGACTCCTCCATTGCACTCCAGTCCCCTTCCCCTCTCTTGATCCTAGGGGCTCTTCCTGCTTCAGGTCTGGTCCCCTCCTTTTCTTCCCCTGTGATCCTGCTTCCTCCACGTTCACCTCTCCTTCTCCCCACAGCCTCTTCCCACCTCAGGTGACTCCTTTCTGCTTTTCTCTCAGCAGGGTCGAGAACCATCATGACCAGAATCCTTTGCGAGTGCTCCGTTATGTGGAAGCTTTCAAATGCTCCGACAAGGAGGATGGACAGGAGCAGCTGTCTGAGAAACAGCCCTCTGTGACTGAGGTTGGAACTCTAGCCAGAGCCTCTCTGGTTCTTCAAACTCCGTCCCTGTCCAGGACCACATCTCAAAGCAGCAACAGCCACCGGGGCTGGGAGATCCTTCGTCGTAACACCCTGGCACACTTGAATCTTGGACTGGACCTTGGTGAGGGGGATGGAGAGGAGGTCTACCATTTCTGATGAGGATTCCCTGACTCTTGGCCTGACTCCAGGGGGGCCTGGGTGGGGACAGAGAAGGAGATGCCTGCTGATGCAAGCGTCTAGCTTTCATGCCTGTTAGTCACGAGAAGGTGTAGATGGAACAGTTTCTAAAGGGCCGTACCATATTTCACCCATCACATCAGCATCTATGCAGGTGGGCGATGGTCATTGACTGTCCCATGCATCTCATGGGTTCTTGGAAGTCTCACGTCCTGAAAATGGTGGGTATCTTTCTGAGCAAAGTTGGACTTGGCAACTAGAGACATGAGATAGGGAGGCCAGATTGATATCTGGACCATCTCTCTTCTGCCCCAGGCAGTCTTCAGAGAGTAGCAAGCAGTGCGGCCTGCCCAGCTCCACATAGCTCCATAGGGGAAGAGCTAGGCTTGGCGTAGAACAGTGAGTGACCTTTCTTCTTTTCCTGTCTCCCTGCTGGACTCTCTCCCACCTAGCAACCAAACCCCAGCTATGAAGCTACAAGAAGAAAGCTTCCATATCCTTGCGTTCTCTAAATTTTCTCTTATTGTGGCTAAGTACATGTAATCTAAAATTCACTATTTTAATTATTTTTTAGATGTACATTTCAGTTTCAGGGACTACATTCACATCATTGTACAAAGTTTCATCATTTTGCAGAAGTTTATCATCATCATAGATGATAAGCCCACTAAATAACAACTCCCTTCCATTTCCTACCCCTGTTTCTAATAATTGATGTTTTACTTGGTGTCCATGACTTTGACTACTCTAGGTACCTCACATAAATGGAATCATGCAGTTAAGTCCTATCGTATCTCTCTATCTTCAGTTAGCATAATATTCTCAAGGTTCATCCATGCTGAAGCAGGTATCAGAATTCCATTTCTTGTTAAGGTGGAATGATATTTTGTTGTGTATACGCACACACATCCCACATTTTATCTCTTCATGTATCTATAAATATTCACTTCTTTCTACTTTTGGTTATTGTAAATAATGCTGCTATGAAAATGAGTGTATACATATCTGTTCAAGTCCCTGCTTTCAATTCTTTGGGGCATATACCTAGAAATGGAATTGTTAGGTCACATGACAATTCTATGCTTACTATTTTGAGAATCTGCCATACTGTTTTCCACCGTGGTCTTCACATTTGACATTTCCTCCTAATGAGAGTGAAATGGTATCTCATTGTAGTTTTAATTTGCCTTTCCCTAAGTACTAAGGATATTGAACATATTGACATGTATTTATTTATGGGACATTTGTATATCATTGGGAAAATGTCTATTCAATGTCTTTGCCTCATTTCGAAATGGGTTTTTTTTTTTTGTTTTTATGGTTGTTGTTAAGTTGCCTTATCTAATTTCTCTCCTGGTGTGTGTATGTTTGTTTTTCTTTAATTTGTTTTACCTAGTTACACATGACAGTACAGTGATCTTGACATATCATACATTTGAATCAGATGGGATATAATTTCTCATGTTTCTGAGTATACAGGTTGCAGAATCACATAGGGGTGGTGAATATTGACTTTCTCTGTTTGAATGGCCCAATCACTTCTTCTGCCAGAAGCTCCCTGCTCTATCCTTCAGGTGGCTCATTTGCAGCTAATCATCCTTGAGCCTGGAGGCAAAGGCTCCTGCTTTGTATCCTGAAACTGCCTGGCTCCACACCCATCTCCCTTTGCCCCTGTGCTGAGTTGTGAATTGAACAACAAGAATAAAAGGCTGTCATCTCTGCCAGGAGGGAAATTTGGAACCAGGTGTCCAGGTTACAGGAGCTCGTATATAATGTCCCTCTTGTCCCCAGCCCTTACATCTCATCTCAGTCCTGTCATTGCTTCTACCAAAAAACCATTACAACTTTAAAAAGAACTATAGTCTGGAATAGTAAAGAGGTAAGTGGCATTTGTGAAACCATAGCCAGATTCATTCAGATACGTAAGTGCCGAGTTGCACTCCCCAACAGTGAGGGCTCACACCAAAGTTCACAAACACTCTCACACCCACGGGACCTACTGGGCATGGTGTTTAAAAGTGCTGAGCCATGGTGATTCCTCTGTTCTCCTTCAAGTGGAAGCACTTCCAAGCCTCCAGAACTGAACTCTCATCTGTGCTTCAGATCCATTTCTCTCTGCATTTTCAGACACCTGTGCCCAGTGCTGTCTGCTCTCACTCTTCCTATTTATGTATCTCCAGCTTCTCCTCCACTAGCTCATCAGTAGATAAACATGCTGCATTCTTAAGCACACTCTCTCCACCCCACATTACTTTCAGCTACCTATGATTTCTACTTTCTGTTTAAGGAAAAACTTCTTAAGATTTGTCTCATTGTCTGCTGGTCTTCCACTGATTCCTCAACCCACTGTGCTTTGACCTGGTCTTTTCCATGCTACTGGTTCTACCCTGGTCTGGGCTATCTTCCTGGGGCCAACTCATGGAGCCATCCTGGTTTTGCTTCAACTCTCTGCAGCATTCAGATTACAGTTGACTATCTGCCACTTCCCATGTTCCTACCCCTCTGGCTGCTTGTCTTCATTTCCTTAAATGTCTCTGGTCCACAAGACTCTGTTTCCTCTATCACCTGGGCAGTGCCACCTCCTGCCATAGATTACTACATGTAAGCTCATGTCTCGCAAGTGCCTATCTTTGGTTCAGATCTGTCTCCTGAGCTCCAGGCATGAACAGCTTCGACGCCAGCTATTGGACCGCTCCACTTGGATATTTTATAGACCTCTTGAACTCAACATGTCCCAAACTGAACAGCGTTTCCTCCTCACCAAACCTGCTCCTCCACCAGTGTTCTCAACCAAATAGGCAGCAGCACAATAGGCAAAGTTGCCCAAACCAGTATCTTGGGCGTCATCCTCAGTATTTCTGTCTCAATTCTCATATCCAGCACATCTCATCTTGTGGAAATTCTATTCCTTAAAACATCTGCTTTGAGAAATAATCATTTTGATTAGACAGAAAAATAAACTTTACTATCTCTGCCTCAGCCCCTTGGCTGTTTCCCTCAGGGATATTCACTATTAAAAGTTTGTTATTTATCTTTCCAAAAATACTTTAAGTGTGCCCAAGCACAGGTGTGTACATATTTTCTTAAAAATAACATCATGGGATAGTCTATTAGAAAAACAGTTTTTACTTTTCTCATTTAATGAATTTTTAAAGACTATTCTGTACTGACATAACATTTAAAAGTTTCCTTTTTTTTTTTTTTTGTCTGCTTCTTTGTAAAACGGGCCACCATCATCTCCCTCCCACATCACAGGAGAACATTCCCAACTGCTCAGGTTGCATACAGTCTTGGTCTTCCCCAGTCTGTAGTTCCCAGTACAGCCAGAATGACTTGGTATGAAGCAGCCCCTGCCTTACACTATGGTCTTTGGGAAGTGCTGACACCTAGCAACCTCTCCAGCCTTCTTTCTCTTCCTGTGCTGTGTGTCACCAAGATGAATTCCTCTCAGTTCCTGGAGAGTAAGTTTGCTTCCTCCTCATCTTCGTGATTTATGGACCTTCCTACCTCTCTGTACTATTCTCCCTTCCATCTTTGTAACTTTTTACTCATCCTTTGGTGTCAACTTAAAGATAAGACCTTTGGGGGGGGTGTGTGTGTATGTGTGTGTGCCCGCGTGTGCACGTACCATCTGGAAGAGAAGGGGTAGTCTCTATCCCCCTAGATTAAGTTAGAGACCACCTGCTGTTTCCTGTCTAATAATTTTTTTTATATTATGCACCCTACACTATTCCACTTACTTGTTTAAATATCTATTTTCCTTAGTAAACTACGCACATCACAAAGGCAAAGATGGTGCCCATCCTACTTGCTATTGTTTTCCCAGAACCTGGCATAATTCCTGGTATTGTGAAATAAATATTCATTAACTGAATCTATGAATGATTGACCTGTTTTTAGTTTAAGTTCTCACTGGCCACCCTCACTTTTTTTTTCCCCCGATACTGGAGATTGAACCTAGAGGCACTTTGTTATTGAGCTATATCCCACCCCTTTTTATTCTTTATTTTGAAAAAGGTCTTGCTAAGTTGCTTAGGGCTTCGCTAAGTTGCTGAGGCTGGCTTTGAACTTACAACTCTCCTGCCTCAACCTCCAGAGTCACTGGGATTACAGGCCTGCCCCACTGTGCCTGGCTTTCTTGCTTCTTAAAGGTGTTAAAAAAAATAACTGACTTTGAGTGGAGTTGTAATAATTAAAGATGAACAATGAGTAGAAACACTTGGAAAAGATAAAACCAATGCAAATGCAATTAGTGGGACATTTTTCCAGCTTAATTATACATGGGCCGGGGAAAGGGAGCTGCGGAAGGAAGGAAAAGGTGAAGGACAAAGAACCATGAGGAATATCAGGAGGGAGAGGAAAAGGGAGGGGGCCCCAGCAGCAGAGCTCTGGGACAGACCTCCCTGCACCTGCTACTGTGTGGCACTGAGATCTACAAGACTCCACACCTGCCCTCAGAGGCCCAAGTGAGAAGGGAAGAGAAAACATGCACAGACATCTGAACTGCAGGCCAGACATGGTAAGTGGGCCATGTGTGAAGGGTTAGACCAAAGAGCAGGTGTTCTTGTCCTGCCCTCCTGCTTGATGAAGCTCCAGAGACAGGGACAGAAGTAGAGCAAAAGAAATCCTGTTGTTTCTGTACCAGGAATTCTTCAGATACCCCAGATGGTCACCATTCTCCCCTCTTGCTGCAGTTCCACTGGATTCTTCAGAATAGAATGCAGAACATTCTGGCTCCCGCATGCCTCATAGGCTAGAAGCAGGGAAGTTCCCACAGGTGTCACCAGGCTGGACAAGGTATCCCCTCCCAGAGGTTTGCAAAGAATGTTCTTGATGAGGTTCTGAGTTCTGGTGAGGAGGATTGCATTGCCTCTGAGAAGTGGCTCTGCCGGCAGCCTTGGGGAAGGCCAGAGGCCAGCATCCTTCCCCTTGTGCTATATCTGAAGAAAGACAGGATAAGGTATTGGGTCCTGGAGCTGAGGGAGATGGAGAAGTGGAGGAAGGAGAGA